CAGTGTACCTCCTCTGGTCTAGCCAGATTTGTAAGGTAGAATTAGGATCATGATAGTGGGGGAGGAGGAAGCATTTAGGAACTAGAGGAAAGTTGTATGTTTCATCGTTGCTACATCACACCCTGACTGGCTCATCTTCTCCCTACCGAGACTGTAATTCTAAGGCCCGGATTCCCAAGGGGTTGGCACTTAAGACCTACTAATCCCTCATGATGTGACCTAACATGGTGTAATCAGCTCCGTCATGGGATCTGATGTTGACAGCCATCAGTTGTGAGATTAGGCTGGAAGGCAGGCACAGCCCTGACATACTGGAAAGGAAATTTCCTCAGGGGTGTGGCCTACTTTCTGTCTAAGTGGATCCTGCGGAAACACTTGCTTTTTGTTGGGTCTGGATCTTGCATCTGGATGGTTGACCTCCAGTTCTTTGGACTTGAGACAAAGGCCTGTCATATTGTCTGCTGACCACCACCATATGTTACCACATTGTTTAGTCTTATAGGTAGTAACTGGTGAAGAGGGATATTTGAACCTAAGCATTCGGACATCAGAGCCTATATTCTTAACCACTACAGGAGAAGGGGGTATAGATTTTATATATGCTACATAATAGACTTCTTAATTTACCTGGCAACTGAATATGAAGTCTTGTCTGGGCTAAAGGTATTTGTGGCGGTTACATAATCTTGTGTCAACTTGGAAAGGGGTGGAGTCTAGCCTGTCAATCAGGTCATAGCCAATGAGACCTCTGTGTGGGCATGGCCTTCTACTGAGGATTCTGGGAACTCCTCTTCCTCCCTGGAGGCAGGACACACTCTCTCTCTGCTTTATCTTCCTGCTGACAAGCTACATGGAGCTATGCTGATGGAGCCAGAGCCCTGGAGCTGGAGGAGCCATGTGGAGACCCACACCAGTGCTGAGATATTTCCACCACCACTGGATCCACAAGACTTTATACCTACTGATCTCTTCCTGCATTTGGTGTCATTGTATGTGTTACATAAGTCTGAAGAGAAATTTATAGGACATATGGGCTATCGGACTTATGGACTTGAATTAGACTGGGCTGGGATGTTTTCTTAATATACAATTGCTCTTTGATATAAAGCTCTCTCTTACACACATGAGTGTTTATAAATTTGTTTCTCTAGTCTACCCAACTATTGGAGACAAAGACAAGGCTCAGTGCATACACCACAGACAACTCCAGCTCTGGAAAGTAGAAGGTGAAGATGAGTCCCCAGCAACCCCTTTTCTCCTGAGTCAATCGCCTAAGTCAGCTAACTAATGGAGTGCCAACCAACTGGCACTCAGGCTGCCATCTCGAAGCCTCAGCCAGCTTCAGGAATTGTTGATAAGAAGTACCAAGGCACAATTAACCCCTTGGGACTCTAATCTGGCATCACGACTCTAGTACTCATAGGACCGTTTATTTTAATCACTTTAAGTTCTAAGAAAAACACCAGCCTGTTGCATTATGAAAGGGTTCACCGAATTTAGGGAGCAACATTAGCAGAATCAGATGCCTATGTTGTGTGGAGGGGAAGGGAGCGGGGAAGCCATGACTATGACTCGCTAAGGCTCTAATGTAGGAGAAGGAACACCCTGAGTGGGTGGGGTGGGCAACTGTGAGTCAGAGGTCAGAGAGGAGAGGCGCTTAGGCTGTAGTGCCCGTGGGACAGTCTCAGACACTCAAAGTGGCAGTTCTACCCTGACCCAGAGGGTCGCCGTGAGTCAGCATTGACCGGATGGCAGTGAGTGGGCCAGCGGGGAGGGCTGACTTGAAAGCCACTGGCTGTCTGACTGTGAACCTTGCAAAGGATGTCTGGCCTGAAAAGCATAGATCTGGACATGATCAGCTTCAGCATGGTAGTCGGAGCCTTGGGCATGCCACCCAGAAAGGGTATAAAATTACAAGTGCCCTTGGCTGAGACCAGAAACCTATTTTCCAACCTCCCAGAAACTGCTTCCTGCAATGCCCTTCCTCTTCTCTTCCTGACAAACATCTGTTCATCCTTCAAAGCTGGGCTCTCACCTCCGCTCTTTCTTAAAGCTCTCCCAGACCCAGCAATGTTCCCTTTTCTTGTGCTCTCGCACCGTTTCATACTTACTACTGTAGCCCTTCTCTTGCACTGCTATTATTTGTATCTCCTTAAAGCTCTGGAGGACATGTCATCAACTCTCCAGCCCCCCGCCCCCCCGCCCATGTTCTTAAGGAAGTTTTTGTTTTAAGTGGAAAGTTTGATCATTGACTGAGTAAACTGGAATTACACAGAATGACACTTGTGCCATAGTGGGTCTCCATTTGGCCTCTTGTCTTCCGTCCTCCGTTGTCATAAGAATTCAGCTTACAGTGACCCTACAGGGCTGAGAAAAGTTCAGGAAGGCCCTTGACACAATGGACAGACACAGTGGCGGCGCCACTGGGCTCTCGCTTAAGCAGTACCGGGAGGACGGCGCGGGGTTGGGCAGCTGTGGACACAGGGCTGCTGTGAGTGGCAACCAGCTCGACAGCCTCTCACCGCAACAACTTAAGGGAGAACCTGTACATGGATAAAGACCTGTCGATCCACTTGAACATGACTTGTTCAGCTGGAACAAGTGAAGTGAACATTGTGTGGCTTACAATTAAGAGAACAAGTAACAGCCCTAGAAACTCACTCCAAGGCCACCATGAAATCATTGAAGCATCCTTGTTACTTTGAAGGATTTCCAAGCCTTTAACTTTTCTAACTTATTTTGTCCGTTGCTGGTCACACGGACAACGGACAAGAAGGAAAGACGAGAAACAGGATGGAAAGAACTTTAATATTAGTCCTTATCTCTGAGAGTTCTGGAGAACCCGTCAAGAAGTACTGAGACCTGCTAATCTAGAATATTCATTTAGATTAAAGTAGATTCTAGGATAAACCAGTGTGCATACTATGAGAACATGTTCAGTGTGGATAGCAAACTCTTATGAACGATACAGTATCGAATAAAAGCTACCTGGAAACTCAGGCCTATAAGAGGCCTGTTTATTACTGACAATACTTCCTGTGGCTAAAGCTTGCAGACATCCACACATAAATACTTAATGTGCAAACCCTCACAGGCCGTACTCATACCCTGGTGAGGGTTTGTTTTAATTTTTCCCCATCGGGAAAAATGAGATGTTGACAGAAATTCAAATAAAGGCTCACTTTGGAACTAAAGCCACACACTTAGAGAAATGCTGGCAGCATAGCTTCCATCAGTAATGTCTATAGTTTAGTCTAGCCACTAACGAGGCGGTCTCACTATCTGTAGGTCCACGCTCTTGCTTGAGCTCAATTGTGAACCTAGTTTTATTACGTCTTGTAAGACATGACTCATAACATTGGGCAAAAACACAACCAGTAGTATCAAATTCATTGTGACTCACTTAGAAGGTAGCACCAGGAGGCTCAAAATGGCATGTAAGCAAATGATATTTGTATCATTCGTATCATCCATAGACACTATCTCATAGTCCTCTTGGTAGACATTGTATGTAATTTCAAAATAAAAATATGCCGCTTCCAAAGAAACTGAGTTCCTAAGGGTGTGCTCAATAAATTCTCTTCTTATGAATTTCAGTAAAGAGAATCAATTTTAAAGGATGAATTAACAAATTAAATTATTGTTTCCTACACGATTTGCTACTTTGAACCCGTTAATTCCATTATCAATGAAGCACCTTATGTTTGGTGTCGTGGTAAGTTACCAGTTAGGCTCCTAACCAGCAGGTCAGCAGTTGGAGCACACCAGCGGCTCTGTGGGAAAAGATATGGCTCTTTGTGCCCCGAAGATGTTTAGCCTTGGAAACCCAAAGGGACTACTCTGCCCTAGAGGGTCGGAATCGACTCGATGGCAGTGTGCTTTTGATGAACGAGGGGGTGTGGGCATGGAGAATAATAAATCATGATCCCTGGTCTCAAGGAGCTGATAGTCAGGTGTTCCTTCTTCGTGAAGAAATACCAATGCCTTAAACAGAGCAAACTGGCCAACACCTTAGACTACTGTGCATGGATAAACGGTAACACAATTCTCGCAGGTCTGTTGAATTTGGCACTGGGACGTGAAGGTGTCACCGTCAAAAGGGCATGGGTCTCTTGGATGTGATGCTTCTGACACTAGTCAGTTTGTGTCCCTCCAGGGCCATGTGGCGAGGGCAGGGTGGAGGGCAGGCTGGGGGAGAAAGACGGAGCCCCTCAGAGAGAAAGACGTTGCTCCTTCCTGCCAGCACCTGCTTGAGTGCTGACGGGAAGAGCTCGCTGTTATTTGAAAACAAACCGTTTCATTATGGAGAGTGTGCGATGCACTTACATCTTTAAGACCGAACAGGACATGTCCCAGGAGTGGTGGGCTGCTTCTGATCTTGCTCCCAGGCCCCTTCCCGCCACACTCGTGCGCCTCTGCGTTAGGGGTAGGCTGGTGGAAACACCTGAGGGGCCATTCCAGCTGTATTACTTTGCCCCACCTCGGACACTTGTTCTGGTCAGTTGTTCACCGTTTTAAGGCTGTCTTCTTCTTTTAATCATTTTATTGGGGCTCATACAACTCTTATCACAATCCACACACACATCCAAGGCTGTCTTCTTGAAGGAGCAGGGAGGAGGAAAGAGGACGTAATGAATGTGACAGTATCGTACGGTAGATAGCTTTTAGTCACCAACAGTCAACACTAAGGATTTGCCTGTGACTTTGTTTCCAACTAGAACTAAATTATGCTGTATAAACTCAGACATTGAGTAAATCTCATCAATGCAGCCGTCATCCACCTTTGAACAGCAGGTAGGAGGAAGGAAAAAAACGTCCTCAAAATGCTGTGCTTCGGGTGACCACGGTACAAAAAAACTCGAAACCCAAAATTAAACCAGTCGACCCTTCTTGTTGATGAGCATGTCTCTCCTCATCGGTTTCGAGAGCAATCTCAGAAAATACGCGCGGTGTAAATGGGCCCAAATAAATTAACATACAGTCAATAAGACAGATCAAAATAGAGTTTGAAATAAGATTTAGAATCACGTTACAACAAGGCGAAAATGCTCTGACAATAACAAAATAACTTACAGCCATACACAGTTTATGAATAAATGTAAAGCATTCTGAATGGATACAAGTAAGATTTCTTCTCAGAGGTAATACAATGAGAACTTTTCACAGTAACAAAATGTGGGAGGATGCTTAGGGAAAAAAACAGGTAGCGAGGAGAAAAAGGCATACAATCAAATGTATCCATGTGAAATTTGGATTTTGCAAGTATCACAAACATCAAGAAAAGAGCTGAAGAAATACCAGAAATATCCATAGCAGCAGTTCATAGCGCGTGTTTTCCGGAAGACCCATCCGTGGAGCAACCCGCTGAAGAAACGGGAGGTCCGTTTCCTAGATGAACATACTCCGCAGGAGCCGATATCTCAGGACCTCTCTCCGGAAGTTACTACATCCAAGTACTACTACTTTGTATTTACAACCCAAGCCTCAAGCGTCCTACAATGCTACACATTCTTCGAGACGAACAAAACCGGGTTCAAGTCGCATAACTAAATAACACCTCAGTGAGACGTGCCTCATTGCACGCATGCATTGCACTACTCAAAATACACAAACAACTCTCATGAGCTAAGTTCTCCCAGAGATGGAGTGAAACCCAAAATTTACTTTACATCATCTTGTTCATTTTTTTAAGTGTTGAAAAGAACCTTATAAAAAAAATAATAAAAAAAAAGAACCTTAAAAGGCCATTTATTATACCCCTTAATAGTTAACATTTTAATTCCCTTAAAATAACTTTTAAAGAAAAATTCAAGTAGAAGACTTCATGATGATTCCTGTATAAGAAGTTATCAAACCTGAACTAGAACTTTTTATGCTGTCTGCCCCCGGCCCCCAGCCCCTTTTAAAGATTCCGATACCTCTTGTTCTAGATGGAAAAGAATTTGTCTTATTTCTGACTTTGCGTTCTTTGCTAAAAGCCCCAATTAATAACTTGAGCCTTAAGATCGCTCGCGGTAGCTTCCTCGTCTTCAGTTAAGTGATCTTAATTCCTTAAGCTCTTTCTGAAGAGGTTTTCCTTCTCCAGCGACAGTGTGTCCCTGTTTCTGTCTGCCCCACCCCTTCTAGAGTTCCCAGAGATCTGAACACTCAACCTTCTGGCATGAATTTAGTCAGTACAAGGGGTCCGCCTGCAGTTCGGCCTCGCTGTAAGCACTGATAAAGGAAAACAACGGGCCCACTAGCCATCCATCATCATAACAAACCGGAACCGTAAACAACTCACGCGTTCACGTCCTCCTTTTAGGGCAGGCTGACAGGCTTGCTCTTCACAAGAAGTATTTCCTGTTGCCTTCCGGACCTTCTCCTGTTCGTCTCCTCTGCCTCTCCAATGCGTGTGCTGACCTGCCCACTAGACCTGCCCTGCTCTCCCAGCCTCAACGAGGGGGCACTTCTTCCCATGCCGCTGCTCAGGGGAGAAGCGTGAACAGCAGGGCCCTCTCCTGGCTGGCTCTGGTGGTCACTAGATGGAGCCTGCTAGACGGGTGGACGCACGAGGCCAAGTATCATGCTCCGGCCGACTTCGGGATCATTTGTGTTTATTTGTTCACTTTAACTTTTTAGTCATTTGCATTCATGTGTTCATATTAAAAAATATTTTGAAATAATATTCTGAGTTTCAATAACTGTTCACCTTAAGATGACCCAAATGTTGCATCAAAGTACCCAAATAAAATGGTTTTCTTCATAATAGAGTGATAATCAGGATGTAGCTTTATCGATTACAAATGGCCTGTCATAATCATGTTAGCTACACCCTGTTCTTTAGTCACTGAAACACAGGTAGCAAAAACAAATATAAACATATTTCATATGTACATAGCACTGGCCATACCACTTTATAGAACACAGGTCATTTAAAAAATTACAATATACAGTCCTAAAAGAAAATAAACAAAAAACTATGCATTTCTTCATCAGTACAGCCTTTAAAAATGAGCTCTTTCAGAAAAATGATGCTCTACACTTAACTAGCTGCCTATTATCTGCAGTTATACAAGATCCAGGTGTCCGACAGCAAGAGAGAACCAATGAACAATCGTGGCAACTCGTCATGTGAGAAGTACAATTGGACACACCAAACCACGATTTCATGAACTTTCTAATCAGCTCAAATGTTTTAGCATTTATTTTTCAGGGAAACACATTCTCTAATACCAGTGCTACCTCCTATAGGCCATTCATTTAGTTTTATTATCCCCAGTGCACTGCCTGTCTATTTCTTTAGTGTATTTCATGTGTAGAACTATGCTGTGACCTGTAGGCCAGGATACGCTCTGAGAAGATGAAATAGCACTTCTCCAGGTCTTTTTCAGAAAACTGAAGAATCAACCAACAAATGACCTTCCAACAAATACTTTTCTACATTAAGAATAAGTGAGTCGTGGTTATGGGATCAGAAAGTCTAGAGAAGCCAGCAAGATGTTAAAATAAACTGGAACTTAGTATTATGGTTCATAATACTTAGATCTGGATGGTTTTATTTTATTTTTTAGTGAAAGTATCATTACTTCATCAGAATAAGGAATAAAGTGACTACAAATCTAAGTCAAAAGCTAAGACTTCTAAATAAATTCACAGCTCCTTTCTCAGTTCAGATTTTTCTCTCTGCTCAACCAGCGAGACTTTGACACAGCGGAGGAGTACCCACAGAGTTTGGGAGATTTGTTCTTAACCGGCTCAAAGTTAACTGATTGAATCAGACCCAATGGAGAAACAGTGTCCAGTTTATACCAGACCCCTGGGAAGGCACTGCATCTAATAACAAAGCCGCTGTGAGTGCTGCCCCTATTGTTTTCTGTTCAGTAAACGTCAGAATCTTCAATACGCACAGACTGCACCACGAGCACCCCGTAACACTGCTCTAAACATCCTAGTTTAAACACCTAATGTGTACAGCAATGCCTGTGGCATCACACCGGCACTTACCACAGCCATCTGGGAGCAGTGCCGGTTTCTCACAGGCTTACCTTACGCGACAGTTAAATCACATTTACCTGCTTTCAAAAAACAGCAACCATGCTACACACAACGACATGGAACTAAGGGTGACTAGACTTTCCTAGCAGAACTCACTTTTGTATTGTGACGTTTCTGTTACAGGAAAAACAAAACAAAACACTGCAGTACTCTAATACTTTCCATGTAAATGACTTTTGTTCAAGATTACGGGAAAAACCATTTGAGTTGTTTCCCTCCACACGGTTTCAACATTGCACAGCGTGTTTAGCTACTTGACCAAAAAGAAAGAGGGGGGAGAAATCCTTGGCCCAACGGGGGAGAGAAAGAATGGGAACACGAGGTTCCACACGCAGCTCCTGGGGTGCTGTCCCATCGGCCAGTGCAGATGTCTGCGGCACCCTACACGGCACGCCAGGTCAGGCCGTTCTTCGTGGGCTCAAGAAAATTCTCAATCAGAGCTTCAATGAGCCTCTTCAGTTCTTCTTCCAGTAAAGTCGTGTTACTGAGGAAAAAGACGAACAGTTTGGAAAGTCTTTGTTTTCACAGGCTAGAAATAAGTTTTTAAGAGAGCATATATACCAAGGAGCTTGGAAAAGTCCAGGGAAAGATTTCATTATCTTTTCATTCCATTTCCCCATGAGCTTTCTGAAGCCCTCTCAAAATGCTGAAGCCCTGACAAAATGCTTGCGCAAGAGGTGAATGCAAGAGAAATTCACTCAGTTAAAACAACAGCAAAATATAACCCCACCCATGCACACAGAAAGAAAACGCCCCTGCCACAAGATGAAGTTGAGCAGTAGTAAAAGGAAGGATTCCCTCAGGACATGGGAAGTGGGTGGGTTATAGGATTGTATGTATACAGAATTCTCTAGGTCAGGTAATGCCATGTCTAAAAGAGACTACTAGTAACAGGTGTGAAAACAAAACAGCTTCCTGAAATACCTCCAATAATGTTCAGTACAGGTATTACAGGATGACATATATCTTTCAGGTAACATAGGGATATGTAATGAAAACAATGAGGTGTTTAGGAGACAAATAGACACTTGACAGTTTGCCTTTCGACCCTTCAGGCAGAGAGCTGCCCTCCATGCCCTGAGAGGGGCTGGCCAGGGACCTTCATGGAGGGGCTTTTCTTCACCCAAAGCCCCTCTCCCAACGGAGGAGACAGGCGCATGAACTTCTAACGTGATTTCAGAATACTGGCCAATTCAAGGTGGAGTTGAAAGGTGGGCGGCCCCCTTCTGTACTGAGAGACCTCCAGGCAGGTGTTTCCCTTCTTAGAGGCTTAGAACCCAGCCTGGGGCTCCAGGATCTCTATTGTACACCTGACAGCACACCCCCCTACCTCCTCCCCCCTCCCCCAGCCGTGTGAATCTGATCTGTGCTTGAGGGATTCTCATTAGCTCTGGCTTCCCCAATGGTCTCAGTTCTACTCGCGGAGGACCCTGTCTGCCTGAGGTTCCCTGAGAGCACTGCTTTGTCTTAGAGAGCACCTGTCTCCACCCAGCCAGCCTCTCCTGTTCTAGCCCACTGTGTAGAACAGGGAGGCGCTGGTGCTGGAAGGTCTCGGTTGGGACCTGACACAGGTGCAGGGGGCAGTGGGTGCAGAAAGCCCCCTCTGGTTGACGGGCAGCCCAGTCACTTCAGACAGCCTGAAGTGGAGGCAGGTCCCCAAGCTACGTCCCTTTGGGGTGGGGGTGCTGTGGGCTACATTGCCGCCTTTGATTGTGATGTACAGAGATGTGGATGGAATCAAATAAGTGGAACAGACCCTTAAAAAAATAAAAAAAGAAAGTTTGCCTTTCAAAGCTGCCAGCTTAGATGCTCTGCATGTCTAACACACTTCTAAGAACATCTCTTTAAAACTGCCTTTATGTGGTCCTTTGAAATGTTATACAAGTCAGTTGTTATTACTTCCATAGTCATGCCTTATTTTTAAATGGTATTTATTGATATATAAATATATGTGTATGTACCAAAGTACAACCAAAAAAGAGCAAAACACAAGGTACAACCAAATACAGGTAGTCTCCGACTTACAGCGTGGTTCTGTCCCAAGGGCTCCACTATCAGTCAGTTCTGACATAATGGAAAGGAACCCTCTTTAGGTTTTCTTTCCAAAAGGAAACCTCTTTTGTTTTTAAAGTTTTCATTATTACTGACTTTTTTTAAAATTAAAAGAGCATTTTATTGGGGCTCTTACAGCTCTTATAACAATCCATACATCAATGGTATCAAGCATATTTGTTTGTTTGTTTTTTGCATATTTGTATATATGTTGCCAACATTATTCTCTAAACATTTACTTTCTATTTGATCCCTTGGTGTCAGCTCCTCTTTTTACCCTCATTATTGATTTTTATTACCACTCTTGTAATAAATCCTATTTTTATTTGTCATTTAGAGGTTGGCATGAGAATGATAACATCATAAAATTGCACACCGCAACACTGTACATAGTGCACATTACTAACAATAAGATGTACAAAAATTTAAAAAACCCACAACCCAGAACAAAACTGGAGTGGTTGTAGGTGTGGTATGTCATCATTCGAGGATATAATTAAGTTGGGGACTACCAGTATAACATTACGAAATGTGGTTTGCTTTGAACATCTTCAATAAGTCGTTTTATTTTTTTCCACAAATGGAAATAAAATCTACTCTTAAAATGCAAAGATTTAGAGAAATACAAGATATGTACATCTTGAACCCTGAAGGCAGTTCAAAACCCCTTTCCAAACATATTGTGGTCAACCCACATCATAGGAAGTAACTTTCACTGTGCTTGAGCACTGAACAAATACAATTACTCAAGTAAAGTTAAATTAGCCACAGTTTATGCTCTTAAAAAGAAATAAACTGGGCTGATTAAGCCAAATTTTTAAGATCTAGAAAATGAATACTTAGTAGTAACAAATTATTTGTTGATATAAATTCACTATAATTTAAAAAGTCCTTTCTCAAATGGTGCTACCACTGTGGAGAACAGTCTGGGAGATCCTAAAAGCCAAGGAACACTTAACAAGAAATGTGTGACTCCCTCCGGGTGCCAGAACGGCTATTTCACATGGAACTAGAAAAGCGACGGATTGTTCAGGAAAGGGTAGTAGAGATGGAAACACTGCCTTCAAAAGTGTCAAGGAACAATAGCTTCATGTTTTGATATTTCTTGTTTAATAAAGCATTCTGTGATTTTTTTTAAGGAATACTTTTTGACTTAGTCTCATTTTTAAGCGTGTGCATGTCAATTTTTACCTCTGGTCAGGTGATGCACACATTTCTGCATAATACTTTATCTTTGGTTCTGTCCCGCTGGTCCGAAGAGTAGCCACGCAACCATTTTGAAAAGTAAATGTAATCATCTGGCTGTTCTTGCTCACAGGCAGCACCTAGGCACAATTGTAGCAACAGCTTAATTATACCCAGTATCTTTTTGCTTTTTCAAGAATTAGAAAATACAAAGGAAGACTTTTTAAATAACAATTCATAAATATACCACTTAATGAACATTTATAGTAATAGTTCTATACCTCACACACACGATCCCTGGGCTCAACAATAATCCTGAAAAGTAAAGGGGCGCCTTGGAGAGGAAGTGATTTACACAAGGCAGCAGCTATGTGGCACATGAAAAAGTGGAAGCTGGTCTGTCTGTTCCCAAGTCCACTCTGCCTGTGTGCTTGCAAAGGTGCTTTGCAACTTCAAACCATTTCCACAAATGGCATGTTAGTGGTCTCCAAAGCAGAGTGCACATCCCCTGGGGGATATCCAAAGTAACCTACTCTATGATTTAAACTTTCCTCCTAAACATTCAGAAAGAACTTACGCTTTCCTGATATTTAATGCATGGACCGGCGCTGGGATTCTCCAGGCACTCAGACCAGTCTATCAAGGTATGTTGGACAACTGTGGACGTGTACAATCCCTCAGCTGACAGTGGTGCCTTCACATCGGGTCCTGAGAGCCCTCTCGTGCCCAGTGGGACGACCATAAACCAGCTGCTAGAAGAGGCCTTCCTGCGCGCTTTCTCACTCACAAACACCAACTCGGCCAGTCCAATCTATCCTATCTTTTATTCAGCTCAAATTGGGGGGCAATGCTCTCCACCGGTACTGCAACAATGTTAAATTCAGCCTGCCATCCTTTTTCACTGCTAAAGCAGCACCTGCCGGGGGGCGTGGCCCTCTTCCCCTGACTCTCCATACCTGCCATTCATTCTTCCCTCGCTCCAGACTCCTGCTCTGGAGAACGACTGAGCTCACTCTCTAAAGGAGACACGCCTTCTCATTTCCACAACGAGCACCTGCTGCTCCCTTTGCCCAGAACTCCCTGTTCCTCCTGCATTTGAGTAACTCCTGCCCAGAACAGTGCACTGTAACGTCTTCCCCAGGCCTCTAACATCTGAACTAGGGGTCGCTCCTCTGCCTTTTTTCTGTGGTACGCATACTTCCCTGTAGAACTATCATTATATTGTAAAGAACTACATTGTCTGCTTCCTCGCTGGGATGTTTCTGGAGTGCCGAAACAATGCCTTCGTCCTTGCTTATTCTCAGAGTGTTTGTGCCTGTAGCACAGAAGGGCTTTGATACACACCTGCTGAACATACAGGTGAATGTCGATCTGTCATGTGCAGAAAGAGCTCGAGAAATCCTTGACAGTTACTACTTACGTAGTATTGGGAATAACAACATCTGTACTCCTATAAAACTGTAGGAAGCCTCCCAGGAGAGCAATGAGAAAGCACTCTGAAGACAAACAGACTTGAAAACGAAGTAGAAGCATTGGTTCTTCAAGTAGCTTATAGACAGAACAAGACACACACACACACATGCATACACAGAATAGCAACAACTGAGAGGGGGGTAACTGTTGACTAGATAAATATACAAAAATCAAATGCGAGTTGGAGTCCACATAAGAGATTGCAGATCTAAGAGAGAGATTGCAGACCTCCCAAAATAAATTATGCCCTTAGAATCTCAAGACAACACTGAGCGCTACTAGTTCAGTGCTAGGCTAATAACAATAATTTGGAGCTCCAGTGGCACAGTGGGCTACACATTTGAGCTGTTAACCCCAAGGTCATCAGTTCAAACTCACCAACTGCTCTGAGGGAGAAAGAAGAGGCTTTCTACTCCTCTCAAGATTTAGTCCCGGAAACTCACAGAGGCAATTCTAACCTGTCCCCTTCGATGTTGCTAAGAGTCGTAATTGTCTGGATGGCAGCAGTTTTTCAGGCGGGTAGGGGGAAGGGAGGGGCTGATATTCATAACAACAAAACTAACATGTTCAGCAATCTCTGACATAATATTTACCGAGTATCTTATGTACAGGTGGGAACTTTGAAGGGCTGAAGAACATTTTGCTAATTGATCTGCTTTGTATAACACAATGGTAACCTAAGGTGTTGCTATTAGGTGCCGTGGAGTCGATGCTGATCCACAGTGACCCTGTGTACAATGGTACAAAACACTGCCTGGCTCTGCATCCTCCTCCAATCAGTGCCGTGTCTGAGTCTAATGCTGCAGCCACTGTGTCAGTCTACCTTGTTGAAGGCCTCTCGCCAATTTACCACGCGTGGTATTTTCTCCAGGGCCTGGTCCCTCCTGATGTATATGAGAAAAAGTCTTACCATCCTCACTTCTAAGTAATATTCCAGATGTTCTCCTTCCAAGACAGATATATACGCTCTTCTGGCCAACAGTGGTATATTCCGTATTCTTTCCTACCACCACAAGGCATCAATTCTTCCATGGTCAACCTTATCCACTGCCCATCTCTCACATGCATGTGAGTTGCTCAAAAATAAGCATGGCTTGGATCAGGGGCACTTTTATACTCAAAGTGACATCTCTGCTCTTTAGTGCTTTTTTATTTTTATTTATTTATGTCATGTTATTAAAAGAGCATTTTATTGAGGGCTCGTACAGCTTGCTCTTTAATACTCTAAAGAGGTGTGTGTCGCAGATTTGTCCAATGCAATATGTCTTCTGATTTCTTGATTACTTCTTCCATGAGTATTGATGGTGAATCCAAATAACCTGGAATCTTGGTCAACGTCAATCTTTTCTCCATTTATCATGATTTTTAAAATTAGCTCAGTTGGAAGGATGTGGGGTTTATTTACATTGAGGTTTAATCCACACTGAAGGTGTTAGTATTTGATCTTTACCAGTGTACTTCAAATCCTCTTCACTGTCAATATAAGCAAGTTATGTGATCTGCAAGAAGCCTTCCTCTAATTCTAATGTCGTGTTCTTCACATAATCTAGCGTTTCATTTGCTCTGCATTCAGATTGAATAAGTATGGTGAAAAGAAACAACCTTGACCACATCTGTCCTCATTTTAAACCACACTGTATATTATTGCTCTGCTGGAGAAGCCATGGACAGGTTCCATATAAGCACAATGACGTGTTCTGGAATCCTCATTTGTCCCAATGCTGTCCATATTTTGTTCTGATCCATGAAGTTGAATGCTTTTGTCTAGTCAATAAAATACAAGTAAACATCTTTCTGGTATCCTCTGCTGTTCGCCAAAGTCCATGTGATGGCAGCGATCTCTCATTTCATGCCCTCTTCTGAATCTGGCTTCAACTTCTATCAGTTCTCTGTCTACATTCAAAAATTATCTTTTGAAAATTTTACTTGCTATTAATAATATTATTAAAATGTATGCATTCCGTTGCGTCTCTTTGCTTTGGATTGGGTACAAATGTGGGTCTCGTCCAGTCAGTTGGCAGTCTCCCAAATTTCTTGGCATAGACAAATGAGTGCCTCCAGGGTTACATCCATTTGTTGAAAATGTCTAATTGGCATTCTCTTAATTCCTGGAGGCTTGCTTTATGCCAATGCCTGCAGTACAGCTTATATATCTTCTTTCAATAACATCAGTCCTTGATTATAAGCTACTTCTTGCAATGGTTGGACACTGACCAATTCTTTGTCATCGAATGATTCTGTGCCTTCCTTCCTTCGACGCTTCCTGCATTGGTCAATACTGTGCCCATGGAATCCTTCATCTTTCCACTTCAAGGCTTGAATTTTTTCTTCATTTTTTTCAGCTTGAGAAATGTCAACTATGCTCTTCCCTTTTGGTTTTCTTACGCCAGGTCTTTGCATATTTCATTATAATACATGTTATCACCCACACAGTTGAGTGCATTGTATAGTCTTGCGTTGCCTTTTTAAATTTTCCATTCTGCTAAGTTCAAGAGCAAGTTCCAGAATCTCTTCTGATATCCATTTTGGTCTTTTCTTTAGTTCCTGTCTTTTTAATGACAATTTTTCTTTCTTCATATATGGTGTCATCCTATCACTCCTCTGGTCTCTGATCATTAGTGCTCAATGTGTCAGATCTATTGTTGGGAGCCAAAATACGACATTGAGTATAACCCACCTAAATTTAGAGGCCATGAGATGGTGATGGTGTCTAAACTCAGGTGCGGTACATTCAATGCTGTATTTTGGCTCTTGTGGACTTGTTTAGATTTTCTTCAGCTTCAACCTGAACTTGCATATGAGCAATTGATGATCTGTTTCACAGTTGGCCCTCGGCCTTGTTTTGGCTGATGATACTGGAATTCTCCACTGTCTCTTTCCAGAGATAAAGTCAATTTTATTCCTATGCATTCCATCTGGCAAGGTCGGTGTGGATGGCCATTGTTCATGTTGTTGAAGAAAAAAGCATTTGCAACGACTAAGTCACTGGTCTTGCCAAATCCTATCATTTGATATCCAGCTTCATTTCTATCACCAAAGCCATCATTCTCTTTCTTCTTTTTCCTCGTTGCTTCCACTTTTTGCAATCTAATCACCAATAATTATCAATGATTCTTGATTGCATTTAATTGACTTAAGATAGTGGTTGCTGTGTAAACTTGAATAATAATATTAACTGGTCTGTCTTGTAGGTGTATGGATATTACCTATCACAGACAGCACTCTACTGCAAGACACATCTTGAAATGTTCTTTTTGAGGCTGAATGCAACACTATTCCCCTTTCCCCGGCATCACAAACCATGATCGTCTCATTCAAAGTGGCCAAGGCCAGTCCATTTCAGCCCACTGGTATCCGGGATAGTGATCATTATGCACTCATTTCTGATGACTTCCAATTTTCCTAGATTAAGACATCATACATTTCAGGTTCTTCTTATTAACAGCTGTTTGTATCTCTTTCTCATCATTTTGAGTCATGTCACATCAGCCATAATGGTCCCCCAAACTTCGCTCCTTTCTTGCGATCAGGGTTGACTCTCCTTTGAGGAGTCAGCTCTTCCCTGGTCATGTTTGAGCACCTTCTAACCTGAGGGGCCTACCTTCTGGCAATACATCAGACAATGTGTCAGTGCCACTCATAAGGTCTTCATTGGCTAATTTTTCAGAAGTGGTCTTGGTTTTTTCTCTCTCTCTAGCCTGTTTCAGTCTGGAAGGTCTACCAAAACCTCGTATTTAAAATACCACAGCATGGTCTCCAGCATCACAGGAACATACAAACCTCTACAGTACAACAAACTGACACATATGAGATAGAAAATAACAAATTCCAGGAGAAAGGCCCATTATGCAATGAAACATCAGAATATGTCTGATTCAGGACCAGGGCTAGAGTGGTGATACGGGGAGGGTGAAGGGAGGGTGGGGTGGGAAGGGGGAACTGATTACAAGGATCTAACTATAACCCCCTCCCTGGGGGATGGACAACAGAAAAGTGGGTGAAGGGAGACATTGGACAGTGTAAGATATGACAAAATAATAATAATTTATAAATTATCAAGGGTTCATGAGGGAGGGGCTTGTGGGGAGGGGGAAAATGAGGAGCTGATACCAAGGGCTCAAGTAGAAAGCAAATGTTTTGAGAATGAGGATGGCAACAAATGTACAAATGTGCTTGATACAATGGATAGATGTATGGATTGTGATAAGAGTTGTACGAGCCCCCAATAAAATTATTTTAAAAATAAATAAAATAAAAAATAAATAAATTCAAAAAGAGAGAAAATGTCTGACTATGGGATGTGAGGTCTATGTGGAGGAGGTGACATCTGCTTTGTCTTAAATAATACTGATGTATGGATCTGTAGCAGTAGAAAGAACATGCTGACTAAGGAACGAGCCTGAACAGAAATACAGGGGGAAAGTTGTATGTAAGAAACTGCTTCTCCAGTAGTGTGCCCAAAACCAAACCCACTGCCATCAAGGCAACCCCAAATCACGATGACCCTGAAAGAACCCTTGTGGGCTTCTGACACTACAACTCTTTACAGGGCAGAAAGACTCATCTTTCTTCCCGAGGAGTGGCTGGTGGTTTTGAACTGCCCACCTTGCGGTTAGCAGCCCAACACATAACCACCATGTCACCTGGGTGGTATAGGGATAGGAAATTCAATTAGAAATGGAAGTTAAAATAAGAAAGGTGTATGGTTTTGAAATGATGAAATGTTTTTAGACTTTATTTTCAACATTATTTAGCATCAAATCATACACCTGCACATACATGTAGTAGACACATATGCACAGATGATTATTGGGGGCAGAGAAGACGACACAATCAAAGGGAGAGAGACTACCTAGTCGACTTACAAATGCTCTGGAGAAAAAAACAATGGATCCTAGTCTTAAGAAACTCATAAGCTTAAAGGCCCATCATTTTATTATTGTATGAATTATTAACATTTTATTTAAAAAATGGGTACTCACTGATTTCTTATTAGGCTGACTGCTATCATACCCAGTGGTAACATCTCGTATATGCAATATGGCAAATGTCCCACAGAATTTTGGATATTCCTTTGGAGAATCAAAGTTGCGAAGTCTTTCGAATATACTTTTGATGGTAGATGGATCATAACATAAGAAATATGAAGTTTTTGAAATATGATATCCATATCTGCAAGAGATGTAAAGTGCCCAAATCAGATTTCAGATAAATCCTTAACACATTACATATATATGATATGTATATACATACATATATATTAAAGATAAGCCTATTACCGTATTGTGTAGAAAATGCTAGCCTTTCATTCCGGCAGTTTTAATACTTCTTTTGAAAAGAATGACTATTCAAAAATGAATTTAGAAAGCTAAGTGTAAGTCCCCCGCAAAAGAAAAACCTAACGTGCAATTCTTCACAGCACAACTTACTTTTCGTAAACCTTAATCAGCTGCTGTCCCAATGTGACGTTCCTGGTTTCCAGGTACGAAGCCATCTCGGCCACAACAACTGCTGCACTCACCCCATCTTTATCCAAAACCGACGTTCCACACAGAAAGCCTGGGGGGCAAAGCCACCTTTAGAAAAGATACTATCAGAGGAGAAGGTGAGCTGGCAAATTCACTACTTTTGCATCTCTTCAGAAGGGCAACAACTAGAACAGCTTTGCACTAGAGGGAGCTCCTCTACACGCCTTCTGACTACCCCAGGTGAAATGCATCTACTCATATCTGAGTTCTCTGTGGTTTTTATCACTCAGAATGCAAATCCAGGAGCAAAAAATTCCTCTCCATAGAATTACCATATTTAAAAAAATGTTCTCCATCAAATTTCAAAGGTCTTAATATTGACTACATACCAATAGACTCTTCAAACGCAAAAAGGACTTCTTTCCCGTGTTCCAGCAGGTCTTTTATCCTACTTCCAATCCATTTAAAACCTGGCAATGTTTCCTGAAATACAGAGGAGGCCACTCTGGGTAAGTGACTCTCTCATAAATACAGATTAGAGAAAAAAACCTATCCTTAAATGCCCGCAACACTAAGTGCTCATAACCTCCCATTACGGTCTTCAGCACACGGTGTTTTGTAGTGGTACATCTATAGTCATAGAGTGCTATGAATACCCACACTGCCACGACTCATCACTTACTACTTACTGAGCACAGAAGGGGGTGTACTGTATGCCAAATATGATCCGATATTTATAAGTGGTGCATGAAGAGTCACAGCGTGACACAGGTGCACTCACACATTATGACCATCGACTACGTATCAAGCATTGGAATAGGGGCTTTCTATCCATTATTTCCTACTGCTACAAAAACTGCGGAAACAGAGGCTCAGGGGTTAAGTCGATCTGCCCAAGTGTAAGCTGCATAGAAAAGAAGGAGCCAGGATTTAATTACATTGCTCCTCAGAAACGGTCCTTGAAACTGTATGCTTACCACTGACATAAGAGTACCTATCTAAGTTGTGACTTAGTCTCCCCAAGTAATGAAAGGCTAGAAGACACTTTTACTTAAGTCCTTTGAACATCATCACAGCATGTGCTTGAACTGACTGTGTGAGACCGTCGTACTGTGGTCCTACACGAAGCCACCGACAGTAACGCTGTCTTTCTGAGGACTTTTCACCTGAGGACCTTCTGCTCACTTTGAAGACATGCACTATTTTGACAGAAAGAGTGTATGATAAATAGGAATTCTAGAGCTCATCACTAAGATTCCTAATTTACCTCGCTGTCTCCTAAAAGACAAACCAGCCGTGCCCCCCACCCGCCACCACCACTACCCTTGCCACCCACATCAAAAATAAGCAAGCACAATTTATCATAGTGGCCTTTAGAGCCATCCTTTTCTGTCTTAGGCTCATGATGTGTTTTTCTTGTCACAGACATAAGCAAGGAAAATATTAAGATCACTGAAATTTAGAATCTTAGGGTTCTGGGGTTTTTTTTCCTCCTTGGTTGTATATATTTTAGAAAGGCTAAGGATAGAAAGTTCTCTCATAAAGCCCAGTACAATTTTCTTTTATTCAGCCAATAAATTAGTGCTATGACAATAAATCAGTAGCATGACTATTACTTAAGATAAATACCCAAATGTGCCATTTCCACTGACACCTGGCACAGAGAGCAGCGTCCAGGTAGCTTAGTTGACATTAGTCTCACAGCTTCGAAAATGACCTTTACAGATCAACTTAACTGGGGAGCCACTAATTATCTTTTGGACATGAAATCATAGGGTCTCATAAGCTACAACTTAAAAATGATTACTTAAAGTTGCTGAAGACTGTGCTTAAAGGGCCTAACTAAGAGGTTAGTAACACCTACAGTTTTGGGGTGTCGAGTTTATAGTATTGGTAAGGCACCACCAGGAGCCAAATTTTCCCAGGATGAAAATGAGATATTGTTGCATAGAATAACAAGCATTAATGCAATTTTTAGAAGAATACCTTATCTTACTCCCAGAAACTGTGCACACACAGAATGAATTTGGCTCAAGGTGTCTGGACCATCAAGGAGAATTTCAAAGTGTTAACAGAATTAAAATGATTAAAAAAAAAAAAAGGTGAGATGGTAAATAAAGTCAATAAAAATCTGTTTTGATGGATTTTAGAAACAAGTTAATTTAGAGAAACAAGTGTGAAAGAGTAGCACACAGATATGATTCTTACTTCAAAATGAAATCCTTCTTTAAGTGCAATTGCTTTCAGGATTTTAGAAGAGACGGTGGTGGCTAACATATAAACATTCTTCACATCAGCATTCCTGGACTTATTCTCCTTCCAGCAAGCAAACATCCACCACCCAAACAAGGCTGCCAGTTCATTGCCGGTGAAAACTTTCCAGTGACCACTGTGGAGAAAATTAAAATCTAAAGCCAAGACCTCTCTAATTTCTCATGCAAATCCACTGACTCCATGAGCTGAAAAAATCAGAATCCTTCAAATAGGAAAATACCCAAACATTCTCACATGGGGTCTTTGAGAAAATATTGACTACTATTTTTCTAATAGTGCAGGGGGGGGGGGGCTTAGGGTAGGCATGCCTGCGGGGTCTTTTGGAAAACTATGACCTTGTTGTTTTTATTCCATTACCCAATAAGAAAAAAAAAAATCCCAAAACATTATGACCAATGTTTATGCCTACCTGTTTAAGGGCATTTGTCACAAAATAAAAATGACAAAACTGACTACCTAAAGGGAAACATCAGGTAATTAACAAATAAGGGGCTTAAGTGGAGAGCAAATGTTTTGAGAATGATGAGGGCACTGAATGTACAAATGTGCTTTACACAACTGATGTATGTATGGATTGTGATGAGTTGTATGAGCCCCTAATAAAATGATTTAAAAAACACACAAATAAACTGGTAAATCAATATGCTGGGATACCACGCTATTTGAAAACTTAATATTTTCAAACAATATTTAAGGACAGGAAGGACTGCTGGTTATACAACGTTAAGTGTAAAATAATCAGGATGTAAAGCTATATATAGTATAATCACAGTTTTATAAAAACAATGATCTCTTTAAATATCTGCTTAGCTGAAACTTTGTTAGGCAATATTAAGATATCAATATTTAATAGGGCTTCGATGGTGGAGCTTACAGAAGGTTTATATTCTTGTTTTATCATGAGCCTATAAGACTTAAAATACAAGACTGTTTTTCATCATTTCAACTGCTAATAATACATTCAACTTACTTTTCCAGAAGTTCCGCTACTGCTAGTCGGTCTGCATCAGGATCTGTGGCTAAGACGATCCGGGCATTTTCTTTCTCTGCCAGTCTCAGAGAAAGTTCCTGAAACAGTGACCCCAAAGTTAGGTTATCCTAAAGAAGTTAAAGTCCAATGTTAATATGCTAAATGCTGGCACTGTGTTAATCCCACGCATTTTAGAAGGAATGTAACCTGGCTCACCCTAGGACAAGACATGTAGAAGTAGGGACCCCACCACAAAGGTTTCAGCTTAACAGAATACGGCTCCAATATCAACATAAAAGATGTAAACTAAAGTGGTTCCTGCTTTTTAAAATAAATTTTGAATTGTCGCTGTGTTCTGCCTATCCTGGTGAAGTCTCAGAAATAGAATAGTTTAAATAGACACTGGGAAAATACCAGCACAGACTCTCCTTCTTCAGGATTTGGGCATTTCACGGTAGAAAAGTCTGGATCCGGATCTTTCTGCTCTGGTACTGGAATTGGGGGCTTAAAACCAAACACTTGAAAAGCCTTCTGGACATAGTCATGTCCAACGCCATGGAAAGATGTATGAACAAATTTCAAGGTGGTCTTTGAGTTTATTTCCCTGTAAAGAAAATAGTCATTCAGTTAATATCAGCAAACGTAACTTGTGATATAATGAAAAATAGACAAATTCTGAGAAAAAGCAATGAAAGCTTTCAGCAGAGGTCTAACCTGTGCCCACCACCTGCCTGACCCCAACTATGCAGTATTAACTTAAATATCAAAAAGATTTTTAACTCAACAGCATACTTTGGGGTTCAACCCTTTGACCTGCATCATCAGTTCCTTCCATCTGCTGGGCAGCTACCACCATACCGTCTCTTAATGGAACTGTCCTCACAAAAACTTCCTGTTTTTTCGTACTCTCCAATAGGCCCCTCCTCCTTTATGATCAGCTTAGATCCCATGGTATCTAATTGCTGTAAGTTTATATATATCATTTCAGTTACTTTGATGCTGTAATATCTCAGCCCTGTTGAACCACTCCCTATGTCTGTTTTCTGAGTATGCACAAAGCCTATTATATATTGACTGAATTTTCTTGGTATTAACATGTTTCTCTATCCCCTACTTCTTTCCTATAATAAGTAGTTGAAGCTAGAGGCAAGATTAGATTTAGTTCAATTCTTTTGGCAAGAATAGGTGCTGTGTAATTCCTACTAAATCATAAGGGAGGCAAATATGTTTGCCTCTCTTAACAATGTTAAATTTAGATTGTTCCTTTAAAAAATCAGTGATTACTGCTTTTTATGTGAACTGTCCCATCCTTGTTCAGTGGGCGCCCCTTCAACATAGGTTCTGTTTGGAAATGACCCCAATACCTTGGTTAGCTTCATTGTTTTCTGGCAAAATATATCTCCCAACCTAATTTATTCCAATTCCTGTGCTCATCCTGGAATCGGCAATTTATCCAGGGAACCCTGATTCCTTTTAGTGGGAAATGGTATTTGAAACCATAATATGGAGTTTAGGGGTGAATTCATACTAATATTTTAAATTTAAATATAAAGGTATACTTAAATTTTTCCCCCCTTTGGTATTTGAAGTTTACCATAGTTAGCAGCATTTTGCTAGTAATACTGCCCACTTGTCATTTTAGAAGGCGAATCAGTCTGATAGCTTGATGGGGGCATTTTTGAAAATAAAATACACTATATAGAAATTAAAATTTATGCAGTAAGATGGGGAAATGTATCAGCAAGCCAGGATTGTTTCTAGCAACACTAGCTTTATGTGAAGGTCAAATACTAAGGGAAATTTCATGATTTTCCCTAAAGGGTATGTGTCCTTTAAAACACATTGAGGGATATAACTCACATAGTATATAATTCACCCATCTAATGGACACAGTTCAATGGCTATTAGTCTATTCAGAGTGGTATAACCATCACCACAATCCATCGAGAACATTCTTATGACCCTCAAAATAAACCGCATCCCCAAGTCATCCCACTCACAGCCTCCCGATTCTTATCAGCCTTATGCAACCACTAGTCTACTTCCCACCTCTGTAAATTTCTGCTGCTCAGCATTTCATATAAATGGAAACATATAAGATGACAGGGCTGCAAAAAGTTCATGGGAAAATTCCATTATTTATTTCATTTTCCCAAGAACTTTTGAAGCCCCTTTGCATATAGTTTTTTCTGGTGACTAGCTTCTTTCACTTAGCATTTTCAAAGTTTACCCATGTTGTATATACCACGTGCCAGTACTTTATTCACTTTCATTGCTAAATAGTATTTCATTGTATGTATATGCCACATTTTATTTATGCATTCATCAGTTGCTAGGCATTTGGGTTATTTGTACATTTTCGGCTATCAGGAATAAAGTTTTAATATTTTAACTTAGTGAACAGATGAGTTTTTAAAATCCATTATGCTCCCTCTTATTTAAAAACTATATTCCGAGGCGATACTCTGCTGTATTCCCACTTGGATACCTGTGGAAACATATCTTTTTCAGATCCTCCATGTATCTTTTACAAACGTCCTGTAGAGGATCTTTCTTCAGTGGGCTGGTATCTACTAAATTATCATTCCAGGAACCATTCCAGGGTTCCACACATTCTTCGATACATTTCAGAATTTCTTTATCATGAGGAGATGTGATCTGAGCACCAGTTTCCCAATAAACCTGAGTGAGAAGTAAATACAGCTATAATTACTTTAAATGTTTGCTGGCTTCTTTTGTATCTACAGTAGAGATCTCAGACTTTAACCAATCAAACTCAGTCAAATAAAGGATGCCACAACGAGACTAATTTAATAAATACCAAAGGATATTGATGCATTATTTTTCTCTTTTAGCAGTATATTTTAAAATAGTGATACAAATATCTTAAACAGGGCACAATTATGGCAGCATTAAATATACATATACCATAGTGTTACATCACACCCTTAGATCTTTAGATATAAAATACAATCCTAAAAAGAATGGAATGTCCCATAAAACTTGGTATTATTCATCTCTAGCATCACAAAATGGTTGTCATATAATATAGAATAATTCGATTATAAATGAAAGATTTATGTCATGCTAGACAGTCAGGGAAGATGATTAGCATGTTAATTGCTCAGTTACATTCCACTAAGTTGAAAGTCTACCAAGCAGTTCGATCAGTAAGACTAGAATTTACACAAAAGGCCAGAAAATACATTTCTGATAACTAACCAGGTATCAAAGGAACTTCTAAAGTAGGATATGTATACGGAGACTACTGTGTATGTGCCATAAATTCCCTCCCTCTATTGCATCCTAAGTGAAGGGAAGACTAATTTGAAAGTCAATACACCAAGCTCTGTGTCAAGTTATAGCTCACTCCCTGCTATGGAATCGATCCCGACTCCTGGTGACCCTATTCAACAGAGTGGAACCGACACTGTAAATCATTATTGGAGTAGGAAGCCTGCACTTTCTCCTTCGAGCGGCAGGTGGTTTCAAATGGCTGACTTTGCAGTTAGCAGCCCCACGTGTGCAGCCCACTGAAAAAGCAAACCCGCTGCCATCAGGCCAATCCTGACTCCTAGCGACCCAATGCACGGCTCCTGAGACTGTAAATCTTTACAGGAGTGGACAGCCTCATCTTTCCCACAGAGTGGCTGGTGAGTTTGAACTGCTAACCTTGTGGATAAATGCGCAATGCTTATCACAGTGCCACCAGGGTGACCTGAAAATGCTTCCTCTGTAAATACCTCAAAATGCTACATAAAAGTACATTTAAAAAAATGACCGAAATGCATAACTACAACAAGTAAGTCCATAGATAGCACAGCTCAAAAGGAAAGAGGTAACTTCGGACACTAAAGGAAAAACAAAGAAATGCAGAGTGATGAGGCAGTAAACGGGCCGATGTAGGTGCCTGAGGCTTGGGGAGTGTCCATTTACTTGACTCTTTGCCCATGTACAAGGAAGGCAGTTGGAATGGAGACTCTTTCATTGAAATGGGATCCACGAAACGTTTCACTTCCAGTGTTTGTCTGTCTCTTTCTGGATTCTCAAAGCCAAAACCACACTCATTGCTACTGAGGTGATTCTGACTTATAAAGACCTTGTCTTTCTCCCACGGAGCAGCTGCTCATTTCAAATTACTGACCTTGCTGTTAGCTGCTCTACACCTAACCATGAATTCCCAAACCAAACACCCTTAAGAATTCAAAACCTGACATCTGGACCTCAACTATCCTAGGATAAGAACTGACAAGTTAATACAGAAATTGCTACAAGACTCTGATAACTGAGGATATGCCAAAGCAATCACTGCCATTGAGTCAATTCCAACACAGTGACCCTACAGGACAGAGGGGAACTGCCCCTGGGGTTTCTGAGATGGTCACTCTTTAGGGGAGTAGAAAGCAAAGCGGCTGGTGATCTCAAACTACCAACCTTGCAGTTAGCAGCCCACTGGGGTTCTCACGTGACAGATACTTAAAAATAAATAAGTAAATAAATAAACAACAATAACAAAAACTGCTCTGGAGGGATGTTCCTATATTCTAAGCCACTAAAAAAATAAAAATAAAAGAGTTCTTCAACAAACCCTGCAATCTCACAGTGCAAATTTTTAAAACAAGAAAAAATTCCTTGTCTATCTCCCTGTCCCTTCTTGTCTTGTATGTGGACATGAGGCCTAGAAATAGAGCATCCATGTGAGGACTACATGGAAGAAAAAAACCACAAATTACAGAGATGTTAGCCCCAGCATCACTGACCATGCCGCAACCACCCATCTATGGGCTTTTTGTTGCATGAGCAATATAAATTACTATTCGCTTCAGACACTTACTGGGTTTTCTGAACCTACAGGTGAAAGTACTGTATCCCTAATTGATAAAAGGTAAAATCCATCCAATAAAATACACGCAACCTAAGGGTTGGAGGTTCAAATCCATCCAGGGGGACCTCAGAAGGAATGCCTGATGTCCTACTACCAAAAATTAGTCATAAAAACCCTGCAGAGCGTAGCTCTACTCTCCGTAGCTCTACTCTCCATGACCCACAGGGCGTGGCCGTGCGTTGCAACTGGCCTCATGGTAACTTGCTAGGTCTCAGGAAAGTTGCTTTTCCTAAATGTGTAAGACGATATTAGCAAAACAAAAACAGACTTTAGAATAACACTAAAGGATCCAAAGTCTTAAGAGACTAGAATGACATGTGCTGTTCTCGAACAGGGAAACTTACTCATAATGTAAAGATATTGAAACACCCTAAATTAATCTACAAGTGTAATGTGATACCAATAAAGATGACCAATTTTGCTGTTGGTGGTTGGACAAAGAGACTCTTAAAGCTGATACAGAAAGATAAGCTGACAAATGGCCAGGAGACTTCTGAAGAGTAGGCACAGGAAGGGACCAGCACTCATTACTCAGTTACACAGCTTCAGTATGAAAGAGTCTGATGCAGGCAAACCATTCAATAGAGCAACGCACAATACCATGAACACACTCAAATGCAATGGGAATGAATATAGAACGAAGGCAGAATTTCAAACGAGTGGAGAAAAATCAATACTGTAGGGTCAGCTGAGTGGCTATGAGAGTGGGGGGAAATGTTGTAGCTTATCTCAGACTAGATAAAAATACATGTGCCAGAAAAGATGAAAACTTTGATGTAAATAAATGGAACCACACAGAAAATATGGGAAAAATGTATGTGATATCTAAATAAGAAAATTTTTCTTAAGTATAACAGAACCAAGAAAACTTAAAAGACTGATACATTAAATTTTCCTGCATGGAACAATATCATAAATAAAAAACAAAAATATGTGTATGTAAAGAGCTTCTACCACAGATAGAGAGCAATGGCCAAGAAAAAAATGGGCAAAACTTTTACTACATAGTTATAAGGAAGGGAAACATAAGTATCTTGAAGTACTAGCTGAAAGGTTGGCAGCTTGAACCCACCCAGAGGCACCTCCAACAAGATGATTGGCGCTCTGCTTCCAACACTCAACGGAGCCATTCAGCGCCGCAGACACGGGTTGCAGGGAGTGGGAACTGACTGGGAGCAATGGCAGCAGCACGCGAGGGACAAGACAGAGTGCTGGTGAGAGTACCAACTGGTAAAAACTACCCTGAAAGGAGAATGCCAGGTCATCTGTGCAGATTCCCTTTGGCCCAGGTGTTCCACTTCTGGACATCTACCCAGAGGTCCGTTGGGTCTAAAAGAAATATGATGTGGGCCCCAAATGCAATCTACCTACATAACTTCAAATTTTCTAATAGCCATGCTAAAGGGTAAAAACTGGTGAAATTAATTTTACTGTATTTTCTATAATCAATATATCTAAATTAATATCTGCATGTAATCAACTTAAGATGGAGATATTTTACCTTCTTCTGGACTGAGTCTTCAAACTCTCAAATGTATTTCACATCTAATGCACATCTCAACTCAGAGGAGCTGCCTTTTAAGTCCTCAGCAGGCACAGGTGGCTTGTGGCTGCCATATGGCGCCACACTGATAACATGAGCAAAAGCATCAACATCAGCTCACAGGACTGAGCACTTATCAGAGCCAGACATTGTGCGGGGCATTTTACAGTCACTGTTTTCGTGACGCCTCACTCTCATCCTATGATGTTGGTTCTAACATTAACCCTGGTTTATAGAAAGGAAAACTGAACCCCCCCAAAAAAATCCCAAAGTAATTGCCACGGAGTCGGGACAGGAGAACTGCCTTACAGGGCTGCCAATGGTTGCTTTTTCTAAGGAGCCTCTAGGTGAACCCCAACCTCCAGTCTTTCCCTTGGCAGCCAGCGTGGCAACGTTTGCATCATCCCTGGGATCCTGGGAAACTGTACTTGCTTGAGGTTTGAGTGGCAGAGCTGTTTTTTAATTAAACATATGCTCTTAATAACTGCTACTCTGTGTAGACTCTATAAGAAGATGTGTGCAGATCAAAACATTGGGGTTTTTTTTGTAAGTTGCAGAAGACCACAAACTGAAATGTTCCTCAACAAGGAACTGGCTAAATAAAGTGAGATCCATCTACACAGTAGAATACTATGTAGATTTGAAAATGAAGATACATGAGAGCTTCCGGAAACTCATCTTTTAACTCCATTTTCCCATGAACTTTTTGAGACCCCCTTCTATACATCCAGGCACACTTTTTACTCTAAGCTGAGGATATTGCATTGCTAATAAACTGAAGGTTTGTGGCAACCCTCCAACAAATTTATCAGTGCCATTTTTCCATTGGCAGACATTCATTTTGTGTTTTTGTACTGTTGTGGTAATTCAAACAGTATTTTAAACTTTTTCATAGTGTTACTGCACATTTAATAGACTATAATATCATCTATTTCAGAAATCACAATAAAATACAGTTTATAGAGCTTTTAACTGTATGCACTGCAAAGCCAAAAAAATGCATGTGACTCACTTGTGGTAATATTCACTTTATTGTAGTTGTCTAAAACTGAATTTGTTGGATCACTGAGGTGTGGTTGTTTATCTATATTGAATATTCATATGTATATATACAGAGAGAGAGAGCATATGAATCAACTCCAAGCTGTACTGCTCTGTAAAAACAATCAAGATACAGAACATTATATACAGTGCCCTCCTATTTGTGTAAAATAATAGAGGAGTGACAAGGACATGATTTCTAAGAAGTGGTGTTCCACCCCACATGTGGGGGTGGAAGAGATACTTCTTAGTGTTTATACTGTTGGGGTTTTGTGCTTGTATTTGAGAGAGGAAAAAAGATTCAAGACAACAAAAATCTTTGAAGCATGTTTTATATCAATAAACATTTAACCAGATTAAGTCCTTCCCCATGACCCTCTATTTGGGGGATAGAGGTGGGTAGAGGTCACACAGGTCAACACGCTAACAAGAAACTAGATAAGTACAGATAGTGGTAAGGGCTGTGAAGGAAACACACAGAATGATGAGACCGTTAGTGAGGGAAACCACTATAAGTCCGATGGCAAGGAATGTCTCTTCAGGGAAGCGATACCTGTACCGGAACCTGATGGACCTAAATCAGCAAGTCTGCAAAACTGGGGAAGCACAGCCTAAGCAGGGGGAAATGAACAGTGACAAGAGTTCAGAGGTAAGAAGGGATGGAGGGGCAGGCAGGAGCAGCAGTGTGACTAGAAGCTAGTGGACATAAGAGAAGAACGAAACAAGGAACAAATCGCAGGGAGGATCCAGATCTTGCAGACTTCTCAAGTCTCAAGGGACGGAGTTTGGGTTTTATTTAAAGAATGAGAAGCCACTGAAGAACTTTAAGCAGGAGAGTGACATGATCTGGTTTATTTTTCTTAAAAAGATCATCTGGTTGCTTTATGGAGACTGCAGGGGAGAAGTGGGGAGAGGAGAGACCAGCAAGGATGCCGTCGTTCAAACAGAAAACAGCAACAACCTGGAGAGATGGAGATGGAGAAGAGGGGCCCAGATGGGCAAATTCAACATAGAGTTGAGATGATTTAGAAACTATAAAACCGTTAACAGAGTGGATGTCAGGAGTAAAGCAAAGGGGGCAATCAAGATTGAGTTTGGGGTAATGTTGGGATGGTAATGCCAATTTCCAGAAATGGGAGGGCTGGGTGAAGAACACATTGGGGGTGTATACAACAGGGTGTGAGGGAACCCCGTTCTAGAGACACTGATTTTGAGATGTCTGTTAGATCGGGACGGATATCAGGCTATTTGATATAGAAGTCAGATGCTCAGAGAGGAGTCCAAATTCTTAGTTTTATTTGACAGTTGACTTCTCCCTCATTGAAAATCTCTTATCTCTTTGGTTTCTAGGATACCAGACTTTCTTGGTCTTTGATCTCCTATCACCAACTCCTCTTTTTCCTCCCTTCCCTTAAAGAGGCTATTCCCTCGGGACTCAGTCTTGTCCTCTTTCTGATCCATACTGTCTTTGAGCTGCTCATCCAAGTCAAGGATCTCCAAAGGCTCCTCCCAGGAGTGTCAAAAAAGTATGTGGGAAAATTGAAAAATCTATTTTTCCATGAACTTTTCAAACTCCTCTCATATATGTGCTGACCCCCAATCTGTCATTTCAGCCTAGAGGTCTCCCCTGAACAGATCTATGTATCCAACTACCTGGTTGGCCACAAACACCTCAAACTTAATATGCTTTGAACTGAATCAGCACAAAACAACAACAACGACAAGCAACTCAATCCAAAAATGGGCAAAGGACTTGAATAGGCAGTTCACCGCAGAGGCTATTCAAATGGCCAACAAGCACATGAAAAGACGCTCAACATCACCAGCCATTAGGGAAATGCAAACCAAAACAAAAAACAACAAGTGTTGGGGGTGCTGTGGGGAAGGCACTGCTGAGGAGAGCTTTAAATGATGCAGTCACTGTGGAAATAGTTTAGCAGCCTTAAAAAAATTAATGACAGAATTATCATCTGACCCAGCAATCCTTATCCTAAATACAAACCCAGAATAAGGGAAGGCCATAGTGCACACCCAAACCTGGCACTGATACTCACTGCAGCACTATTCCCAACAGCCAAAAGGCAGAAACAACCAACACGTCTGTGATAGGTAGGTTTTTTGTGCCAAGCAGGCCTCCATAGGAACATGTGGGCAGACTTTAATCAGGTCACAGCTTGACTGGAGGGTGACCGAAGCCAATTTCCCCTCTCTCTCTCTACAGCAGACCACACACTCTCTCTCTGCTTCATCTTCCTGCTAGCAGGACAGTCAGGGAGCTGGAGGAGCCATGTGGAGACCTGCACCCGTGCTGAGATGCTTCCACCACCACTGGATCCACAAGACTTTCCACTCACTGACCTGTGATCCTCTTCCATTCGGCATCATTGCATGTGCTGCATGAGTCTAAAGAGGAATTTATGGACTAGTATCGGACATATTGAACTTATGGACTTGATCCGGCCTGGGCTGGGATGTTTTCTCAATATACAATTGCTCTTTGACATAAAGCTCTTTCTTGTACATACATGAGTGTCTCTGGATTTGTTTCTCTAGACAACCCAGTCTAACACATCCATCACCAAAGGAATCAATGAACAAAATATGGACATAGACAACGGAATATTATTCAGTCATAAAGAGAAATGAAGTCCTGATACATGACATGGCATGAAAGAACTCTGAATTATGCTGAGTGAAATAAGTCAGTCTCAAAAGGGAAAAAAATTGTATGATCTCACATATATGAAATAAGCATATATAGAGCAATACATGATTATTAATGTTACCAGGTGGGTGGGGTGGGTATGGAATTTTGTTCTGGGAGCACTGGATGTGAATAAATGGTGGTAGAACAGTTTGGAAATGGATAGGACAATGGTGACACGACATGGAAAACATAATCAGAGTCATTGAGTTGAAAATGTGGACGTTGGGCTGGGGAATGTTTCAGTGTGTCTGTTGTCACCACACACATACAGCCACCAGGAAACACAAGCAGAATGAATCACAGTTCTTCCCCTATCCCTGCCTCTTTGAAAGGTAACACTATTTACTTTGTTGGTGGTGTGGACTGAACTATGTTTTCCCCAGAGCTGTGGTGCAGTCTTATCGACTGTCCCTGTGGAGGTGACCTTGTTTGTAACTAGGGCTTTCTCTTGTGATCACTTACGTCACATCAAATCAGACTAGGGTGAATCCTAATCCTAATTCCTTCTGAGTGGAAGTCACCACGTGAAAGGATAAACAGGAAAGTCCAAGAGTGCCGGCGGCCAATAGAAGCTAGGCGAGAGGAATGAAACAGTTCCTCTCTCAAAGCCCTCTGAAGACAGCTGACACAGCCTGGACTCTGATTTGGAGGCTTTATGGAAGCCCTAGCCGACTAAGACAACTTGCCAGGGCCAACATATTAGATTACGTCTGTTTCCCACAAAGCAGAACTCAGCATGCCTAGAATCCTCCCAAAAAAGGAGAGAAGCCAATACAAGGGCATGGCCTTGTCACCCAGAAGTACGGGTTCAGGGCTGTGTCAGGAGTCTTGTTTGTTCCTGCAGAGCCACTCTTCCCCTTTCTCCAGCCTACGACCTGCCCCGGGAGGCTGACACTGCAAGTGCGTCTCGTGACCACCCAGAGGGGAGCTGTGGCAGACAACTGGAGGGAGGGGAGAATGAGGTCAAGGTGATCCTCCGGCTCTTCCGGCAAGCAAGCTCCCATTCATTCTTCAAGTTCTCCATATAATACAATCTTATTTCTGAAATGGTAGGAGATGGGTGTGGGGTGGGATGGAGAAATCAGGGGCAGTAAGATGTTGAAAGTAAAAGACCACTGAAGAGACTTTTGAAACAGTACAGAGGCTGAGAAGTAAGAGAGACCTTCAGGCTATACATCAGCTGAGGGCCAGGCTTGGTGTTTTTACGTGGTTTTTTGTCCTCAATATCTAACACAGCTTCCCAGTGTAAACTCAGGATATATTCTGCAAGTAAGAGCCAAAAAAAAGTAAGCAAGAGGCTTACCTTGTAACCGTTATCTTCCTTGCGGTTGTGAGATGCTGTGATCATCACTCCTGCAACCGCTCTGAGTTCCTGAACTGCATATGGCTGAAAAAAATAACAGCATCAGAATTCCATTCCGTTTCCTCACTGTACATACCTCTGGCATGAGTTCAACTTTGAGTAAGGAAGAGGAAGAGGCATGAGAGTATAACTGGCCTAAAACCTCAACCATCAACCCAGAGCTCCTTTCACTGATAATACATGATTGAAATGTCATTCTTTTAGACCAACAGCTTTGATACCATACGTGTTTGTCATGTTCTAACACACTTAACATTTAAACACTGCTTTCATTTCTGAAAAACTCGCAACAGGTTTTTATCCACAGACCTCTTTTAAGAATAAGTTTCCTATTATTTTGGCATGTTTATTTCAGAGACTTTGGGGAGGGATAACTACTACCTGCACCAGGAGGCCTCAGGAATGTGGTTTTAGACATGCTAAGGAAGACTTGTGATGAACAATTCCGATAAGCAGATGATATGCCCTTGCTTGCTGAAGGGGAGTCAGACTTGGAATGCTCACGGATGAAGATCAAAGTCTTCAACATGGATGGCACTTCAACGTAAGGAAAACAGAAATCCTCACGACTGGATCAATAAGCAACATCACAAGAAAGGGAGAAAAGATTTGTTAAGGCTTTTGTTTTACTGGGTTCTACAATCAACACTCACGGAAGCGGCAGTCAGGAAATCAAATGACCTGCTGCGCTGGGCAAATCTGACAATGTCAGGAGCAGAGATGGCACCTGATGTGGCTGCGGCAGTTTCACTTGCCTGACAGGCACGGCAAAGCTGGGCAAGGACTAAGGAAGGCCAAAGAAGGACTGAGGCCTTCATATTACGGTACTGGTGAAGACGATTAAATAGGCTGTAGCATCCCAGAGGAATGAACAAATCCATGTTGGAAGAAATAAAGCCAGATGCTCCTTAGATGCGAAGATGGTGAGATTGTGTCTCACATGCTTCGCACATGTGATCAGAAGGGACCAGTCAGTCCCTGGAGAAGGATGCCATGTTTAGCAGAGCAGGCGATGGGTGAAAAAGAGGCCAGCCTCCAACAAGTTCGGCCGATGCTGACTGTAAGATGGGCTCAAACATAGCAATGCTTACAAGGGTGGCACAGGCCCAGGCAGCATGTCCTTCTGTCGTCCACCAGCTCTGAGTCAGAACTGAGTCAGACCCATCTGACAGCGGCAAGCTGTAAATGTCCATTATTCATTCAGTGCAAGTATTGAGTACAGGTAATCACGTATGGAGTCTCAAAAGTACAAAAATTATATGATTTCACTTACATGAATTAAGAAAGTATACAGAAGCCAAAGATTATTAATGGTTACTAGAGGTGGAAGGAAAGAAAAAAGGGGATTTCTGTTCAGGGAGCACTGATGTTAACGGTGATAAAATATTTTGGAAAAGGCTAGCGACAATGGGGATCTTCAGCCCATCTATCATTATGTAAATTATAGATATCTGCCATGATCACTCACCATGTTAGGTTTGGTGCAGTTAATTACTTAATATGGGTCTTGTAGCCATAGTCTTTGTCCCTCCTACCAAAAAACTGGGTGGGACCATGCAGATTCGGTGTGTTTCCTCTTTTCTGGAGGGTCTGGGTAAGAAAAGGTGGGAGGAGATACTGAAAGGATTTGGTTGTGATTGTTAACAAGCTTAATTGTGATTGTAAAAACTTGACACTCTAATGTGGAACTGGTCAATTTTGCCTCCTACTGGGTATAAAATGAGCCATCTCAGCAGCAAGGGTATGTGTGTGGCGGGTGGTGGGGAGCGTCTTACTATCATCAACCAAGAAAAGCCAGGAGTGGAGCATGACCTTTGGATCCCAAGACTGACCCCTGCACATTGATATCTCAATCTGAGTGTAGAAAACGGTGACACTAGCCAAGTGGCAACAGCACAAGAGACAGAGAAGTGCCAGGGCACAAGGCAGTGGTGCGCTTCCCAGACCACGGAGGGAGTAAAGCCGAGTACTTTCAGGTAGAAGGCTCATTGTGGAAGAGGGTGCTTCCAGGTACTGAACTGGGGAGTTAGGTTTGCTGGCCCACAGAGCTGGGACTGAGCACCTATGGGCTTAGGCGTGTGGCAGAGGAGTGCCTAAAAGAGCTTTGTAACATTGCTGAAGCAGGGCAGACGCAAGGTCAAGGGACCAAGGGCAAGTGAGAGGCCTGCCTGTGGGCGCAGCAGAGAAGAAGCTTGACCAAAGGACTGTACCCTGTACATTTCTGATCCTGAATTGTAACCTGCTAAATTCCCTAATAAACCCCATAATCATGAGAGTTGTCTGTGAGTTCTAGGTGGCCTCAGCAAAGAATTATCAAACCCAGCCGAGGAGATGTAAAAGTGCTGAGAAAGGGACGGTCCTCATCAGGATTGGTAAGAAGGTTCGAGGGTGGGGGTATGTCTGACACCCTCATTGGAATAGGTCTTGAGCAGCTAATGATGATGGTGTGATTCTCTCTGCCCCTTGTGAAGTCAGACTCCGACCTTTCTTGTAAGTCCTTTCCTTCCAAGTCTGTCAGTGACTGGTCACCGAGCATCTGTTATTCAGTTGCAAAAGCATGCAGTTGTGTTGCTTCCTTGTCTCCCAGCAAGAAACTGATGTGGCATTTTACAAAATTGGGTAATCAAAATAGAGAAGTGACTGACAAAAACGAAAAGGCAGCAAAGAGACAAAAGGATTGAGAGCAGAGAAGGAACCGTTAGGAGAACAGGCGGTGGCGTGATGGTGAATTACTTGGCTGCTAAGGGAGAGCTTCCAACCCACCAGCTGCTCTGAAGATGAAAAGACTTGGCCACCTGCTCCTGTCAAGACCACAGTCTAGGAAACCGTGTGGGCCAGCCTCCTCTGAGCGGCAGTGTCTCACTGGAGGAGTCAAAGTGGGCTTCACAGAGCACCTTCAACAGAGGGACTCTCAGAGACATCTCACAGCTTCGAAAGTACTAAGGAGGACTCGGGATAAAATGCTGGAAGCTGATCCAAA